ACATGTCATTTAATCTTATGATATTTTACATTTCATGCGAAAAATATTAAATATTATTTTTTTCATATGAAAAATATTAATTTATTAATACAACATAAAAGTAATAAAGGACAATATATAAAAATATTTGAAGTATTTGATATTTTATTAAATTAATATATAGCCGCACAACGCGCGGGTACGTATACTAGTGAAGAACAATAATAAAGAAGAAGACAATTGAGTTAATATTTATTTTTTCCAAGTTTATTTTAACACATGACCAGTTTTTATTGGTCAGTGCTGTCTAAAAGTTGCACCCACGCGCTTAACATAGGTGAAATCACGGACTCAGTCACGTAGGCCGAAAAGTGGTAAACAATTAACTAAAAAATAAGTTCAGGGGGGTAATAGGACCTTAGTAAAGGTTAGGTGTGTCTCAGGGATTTTGGGCATAGGCTGGGGGGGTACTTATGCATTTTCCCATTAATTTTTGCTAAGATTATAACTTTGTTATTAGGGATGGCAATTGGGGCAGGACGAAGCACTTGTGGGGAAAATTTGCATGAGTCCGCGAACACTTCACCCCGTCCCACCTCACCCCGCATAGCAAAACAATCAATTTTCAATCTGACCCGCCCACCTTGCCTCATGTCTGATAATTTCCCCCCTTCACAGCCTTGTGTTATGAGCAACCAAGACCAATTCTCTGGCAGTTGTGGTGATAAGGGAAATCCAAAAGTCTACTTATTGAAAACTCACCTCAGAAAAAAACGAAGATTGAGGTAGAATGTGAAGAAATTGATAGGATCAGTCACCTACCTGATGCTCTTATTGTTCAAATTCTTTCTCGATTGTCCATAAAAGATGCGTTTAGAACAACTATTCTCTCTAAAGATTGGCAATACTTCTGGACTTTTATCGACAACATTGTTTATGAAGAGGAGTATGGTCGTTCAGATAGATCGACAGTGCACAAATTCATTTCCTTAATAGATAATGTACTACCTCTCCTTAGCTTCTCTAGCATTAAAAAGTTCAGTCTAAACGTTGTGTTCACAGATGATGATTATGTTGTGTCTTATTTTCCCATAATTGACAAGTGGCTTGAATTTGCTATGAGTAAGGAAGTGGAGGATTTACGCCTGAATATACGCTATAGAAATATTAATTCAAGTCATCCCCAACCCTATAGCTTGCCACAAGTTCTCTGCAGTATTTCATCGATTGTAACACTCAACTGCGATAATTGAAAAATATCAGAAGATTGTGTACTAAATTGGACATCTCTGAAGAGTTTAATGCTGCAAAGTTTGTTTCTCCTGGATGAACACATTAAACAAATAATGTCAAATTTTACTCAATTGGAATCTTTGGAGCTACATGAATTTTGTGGTTTTAGTCGTTTGCACATGACTTCTCCAAAATGTAGGCGACTGCAATTGACCCAGCACGATCATCCTTACGGGGATTAGTATTTATACGAAGGTGATGTATGTTGCTTAGAACTTGTTGCTCCATATGTTGAACATTTAACGATTACTGGGGTTTTAAGTCGTACGAAAATTAACCTCGGGGAGTTGTCATCTTTGAACCATGCCACTTTTAATCTCTACTGTGATGAATATGATGAAATGGATGTAAACATAGAGAAAGATCTGTTTCTAAGCGATCATTGTGCTAATGAGCTAATACTCTCATCCCGGTTTATCAAGGTCAGTTATGAGTCCCAAATGTCTCTAGTCTTTTTATGTTGATTGTGAATAGAGCTCCTCTTTTTATCATCTGCCTCATTCTTTTGTTCAGGTAATTTCCAATTTGATGTTGGAAGAGGAACACGTCTCCTTACCGTTGATGGAATGCATATGATTGACAATAAGTTCTCGTAGTTCAAAACTTTCCTTCCCAATGCTAGACAACCTCTTTAGGTCAACTCGTAATTTGGAAAATTTGATGATATTTGCTGATAAGCCGGTATGTTTTCAATTCAGAATATATTTATATCAAATGTTTATTGATCCTCTACAGCCTCAACAACTTCAATTTCATTACTATAGTTGTTAAGCTTAAAGCTTATCACCTAACCTGATTTTTCCTTGTTCGGTATTTGTAGTACCATCCTTTTTTTGAGGTCGAAGACATTGATTTGCTGGAAGACAAGTACCTCTCCCTTGAAGAAAACATATTCAAAGTTTCCTTACAAAATTTGAAGAATATCAAAGTTATGCCATTTTGTAGTCGCACGCGTAGATCTGACGCAACGGAGCTCCATCAATTCTTGAAGTTCTTACTTGAGCATGCAATAAATCTGTAGAAACTGGTTATAGTGCCAGAGCATAAGGAATACAACAGTTGTTCTACTGATACCTCATGCCTGATGAATTATTTGTTACCTTTTCCAACAACTTCTATGAGTGCAATTATTTCCTTAGGAACAGTTAGTCATAATGTTTTCTATAGTGATGTTTGAAACTCTCTTGTACTTATAAAGACACATGAGATTGGGATATGACTATAATTCAAATATTGCTTGTTTGTTTGTTTGGCCAAGTAATTTCTTTAGTCACTTTTTACTGTCGAAATATCATTTTGATGAAGTTAGAAGTTAGTATATGCTAAGATTTTTCGAACCATTCTTCGTAGGTGTATAGGTTCATACCTGGTGATTAATTCCTAACTATTTATGGGTGTTAAGGCCCAATTATAAGTGTGGAAAGTGTATTAGATGTGAATCAAGTTCATAAGGGACTTCTAGCATACAAAGAGTTTTGTGGCCTAATACCAGCCAAATGACAGGTCTCAGAGTTTTCTTTCCAACGCATTTGACCATTCGTCAATCCGAGTTATGTGCTAAAAGTTATGTCCATTTTAGTGGGTACTATGTAGTTTGCGAACCGTCAAGCGACTGCGCAGGAACGTTAGTGTTACTGCCATGGCCGCATGACCTAGGCTCCAACTGCGCACGTTCGCTCTGAAATTCTTTTAGTTTTTTCTTCTTTTCATAGTTTGAGGAAGGGTCTTTTTGTCATTTCCTCATTCCATAACCCGAACCCTTGACTATTAACTTCCTTCAAAAGTCAAATTTAATTAGATTTCATATGTTACGATAAACTCCTCTCTTTTTGTCCAACACTTCAAAAAACAATATTTTTAAGAATGCTAGAGATTGCAACCACGATTCTTCCTCAAATTTCAAAATTAAGGTATGTAGGAAAATGTCTGAAGGATGTAAAGAAACATATTAAATATTATTGTCAGTAATGCTTTATTAATTTGTTACTCCAAAACACATTTTCAGTCTAAAATATTACCGAATTCTACATATTTAAAATCTTGCATATGTGCATATATTTTTTTTCATACCTCATAATTTGCGGATAAGATTGATATAAATATTTTGGAAATGTTCATAAAGAACAAATTAAAATGATGCATTTTAAATTAGTGGTCAGCATAGTTATCACATAAATCTATTTGCTCAAAACTATGAATTTGTCATAGTCAATCAGCTTCATTTTGCAGAACTCTTTATTCAACCATCATTCCAACAATTATGAAAACTAGACTCAAAGTCCTTCAATTTGATGTGTTATAGGTCTTCTAACTCTCAATATATTTGGAGATATGCTCATCACAAGTCGGCCCATAAACAAGATTATACAAAACTCTCTTATAATAAACCTGTCACCTAAGATTATTGTTTCAAAGCTCCCTTTGGCCTCTAACTTTCGTCTAAGAATTTCAATTGATTTTATATAGTTATTACTTGGTATAACCATCTAATTGTTATTATTCTACGGACATCTCAATGACGGTTGATGTAAAATACAATAAATTGACTCATCAAACATAAAATTGTTATTTTAAACGTTAAAAACTTATGGGATACTGCATATACACATCCTCTAAAATCTTTCAGCTCAATTGGAAATATTTCATCCCAAGTCCTTCCGGCACTTGAGTGTGTATTAATTGATTATCATCATAGATCTCAGGCTACTACTAGCTCAAGCTATTAGATGAGGGTTGATAGCCCCAAATCTTTGTTATTGGTTGTTTTCATAATCTTCACTTCCTTATCCAAGCAAGTTTAGAATTGAGGCAAGTTTCAATGTATAACATAAAAGGCCAGTAGTATTGATGGTCAGTCTCAAAAATCTAATACAACAAACAGACTGACATTAAAGAGACAATGACCCTCAAATTAGGCTATGTATCGCCGTGGATTAATAGTCACACAAGGCAGCAGAGATTGTTGGTTAAGCAACTCATTCTACCTTCTTGCTTTCTTTGGCTTCAGCTTCTTCCGCGTCTTTTGTCTTTCCTTCGTCAAACTCCAACAACTGCTCAACAAAAATATCAAGAATACAGTTTCAGTATTCGAAACAGAAATGTAATATAAACAGATTGTCAAGAAAAACATACAGGCTTCACATCCCTGTTCCATATGCAATGTACCGCCAAGAATCCAACAAATATTGTGAGTGCCAAACCAAATGTGTATCCTAAAAATGCACTCTTGAAGTATTGGGGTGCCTTCCCCCTGGAGACATCAAAACGGAGTGCCAATGCAACAAAAATGCCTGAAAGATTGAAGTGATCAAATGTTACCAAGTGTATCTACTCAAGCAAAAAAGAAGTTGCAAAAGAAAATGATGCAAGACCATGGCAAAAACCAAATAATAAGAATTTGTGAAAGAAAAATAAGTTCAGTAGCTAGAGTAAAAGAAATAAAACTTTTCTTCAATATGGTAAGACCTCATCCCTCATTCCTTCTCGAGGGACCAACAGTGGTTTTTTCAACTTTTTCCTCTTACTGTCTCAAACCCCAAACCTCATGGTTTGAGATGGAGGATCCCTCTATTATGCTTAATCTCTCTGGTTTAGTCACAAAAAGTAAGCTAATAATTTGTAAAGTTGCATTCGTGGCTATTTACAAATAGCACAGGTCAAAAATCAGAAAAGATCTTTCATGCAAATGGAGGTTATACCTGGGATAACTATATCTCCAAGACCCAGCATTGAGAAGGGGCGTTTAGCATCCGCTGTGGGAAACAAAAGCTGCAGACAAAGCAATTTTATAATCAGGACACAGTGACTAACAAAGTGTGGAATGGAAAATTTAAAGAACCAGCTACATAAAAAAAGGTCACTATCTTGATAGGAGCATCAAAAGATTTGGCTACACTGACCATCACAAAAAGTCCTGCCTGCATTTTTCGAAAGCCATGGGCATTCTCATGAAGTTCTTTTCCGGATATTTGGAAGAGTCAAATAAGGAACAACAAAGGGATATTTGGTTTAAGGCTAGAAACATAAATAGAATGACACTTATGAACCATGTACAATTACATATAATACACAAATTTCTTCCCTTACCAATAGTATGGCACCAGTCTTAAATGATCCAAGTGAAAGCATTTCAATACCCTGAAATCAAAATGGCAAAGGAAAATCCATATCATTCATCAAGGTAGACATGATTAGACTCAAGAGGGGACCAAACACTTTTCAGCTCTGCAAAAGTCTCCATTCATTCGAAGCATACAAATAGATAATAACAAGTAACGTTGGATCATTGTAAGGACCCAATGTGGGATGTGGGTAGGACGCATGTCACAAGTAAGAACTGTATCAATGACAAGGATCCTGGTGTTTTAGTGGGAGCACAGTAGAGGCAGGGGCGGCTGGTAAGGTATAAAAAAAGTTTTTGGCCTTAGGCCCTAATAAATTGGGGGCCTCATTTTTTAGTTAATTAGGTAGAATTAAACTTTTAAAAAAAAATAGAACTAAGACAACAAATGCAAATGGCATTAATGATATATATATATTTCATATGATGTTAACATATCAGGGGCAGCTGGTAAGCATCCCTTTTACTAATTTGAGATTAGGGCAATCATCGATGATCAGCTGAGAGAGGGAGGAGGGAAGGGAAAGAGACTGGAGTTGATGGCAGGAGGAGATGACTAGACTTTGAAGTGAAGTGAGGTACCGAAAACCTTCTGTCGGTAGTGAATGGAGTTGATGTTGGTCATTTAAATGGAGCTGAGAAAGAGATGAGGGAAGCCCTTCTTCCACCATTGACTGAATTTGAGGTATATCAGCAATGCATAGATATTCAAGAGATGAGAGGCTTTTGAGAAGTTGGCTGCTTAATGTTTTCATATTGGATACCTCAAGCCTTTGAATAGAGGAAGGCAACTCCCAATTCTCACCGGCAAGAATCTCTTCGTCACTCCCATCATGATTGATCCATAACTCTCTGAGACAGGAGAGTCTCTGTAAACGCCATTCCTTTCGTCCATTCACTAGTTTCTTGCAATTACGGATCTCAAGCATTTGTAAATTGAAAGGCAATCCTCCTTCTGGAAAGAACTCTATTTCTGGACAATAAGACAGATGCAGTTCCTTAAGAGAAGGAAGGAGTTCCTGCATATGTTCTGGCAACCACTTCAGCTTCGAACATCGGATAATACGCAAATGCGTCATCTGAGTCCCCCCACAGGCCCCTGAAAGTTTTTCAAGATTCTTACAATTCCAAATACTGAGACTATCAGTAGCAGTAGGAATAAAAAACTTAGTAAGGTTCTGGGAACTAAATACATCCAATTTGCGTGCTCTTGGGACCAACTCAGGTGATATATCATCTATAGAAGTGTCAAATCCACACAGTGTCAATTTCTCGAGAAACATGTTACAATAACTGCTAGAAATCATATCACCAACTGGTGCCTCCAATTTCAATTTCTGGCAACGAAATATGCCTATTTCCTTCAAGGTACTCGGAAGAATGCTAAAAGGAAAGGAGGTGAGAGAGTTACACTCACCAATAAATAATCCCTCAATCTGCTTCATTCCTTCAAGTTGGGATCCAAACAGTTCACTGTCATCAAAAAGTGGAGAATCATCAACATCAAATATTTGTAAATTTGAAAGTTGGATAGGTGTCTCCAAATTGAGTACAGGACATCTTGAAATTATCAATTCTGTCAGAGAAGAAAGATTTTCAGGCAACTTCCCAATCAACTTCGGACAATTTTGAATTGAAAGCTTCTCAAGTGCAGGGAACTCTCCATTTCCTAGTACGTGCCATTGCTTCCACTCCGGCATGTCTTCAAATTCAAGCTTCTCAAGAGAATTAAAAGGCTTTTTGAAGGACAAACTACCAAAGAATTCTTCAGTGACCTCTGTTATTCCGTGCATCTCTCTAATGGAAAGGAATTTCAAAGAACGGAGTTGCCCTAGTGCTGGCAAGGAATCACAGTCCTTGCAGTGGCAAAGAGACAATTTCTCCAGCTTATAAAACAAAGGATCAGCTAGCCAATTTGGAAAGTTTGTCCCTCTATATCCAGTGATTTCGACTTCTTTTATGTTTGTGTGTGGGCATAGCTCATCAAGTATGTCTCTTTCAGTTTGTGAATTGTCTGCAGTACTACTTCCACTCCACTCCAATGATAATTTTTCAACATGATTCTTCTCCCTCATCTTTGCCTTCAAAGCTTTCCTTCTATCAACCACATTTTGCAACTCTAGAATTGATAGAGATCCATACAAGTTATGCAGTTCACCCAAATCTTCCATCCTCAAACCACCGCAATCACTTATAAGAAACTTGGCTCCCACTAGCACATCGAGACTTTTCAACTTGCTCAGATGGAGCGGCATCTTCAAGAGATAAGTGTTGCTAATGTTGAGGTGACGCAAGTTGATCAACTTCTCCATTTGTAGCGGTAGATCTTCAAGATCATCACAAGATGATAGGAGAAGTGTCTCTAAGTTATACAACACACAAATGGAATCTGGCAACCTTTTAATCTTTGTCCGAGAAACATCCAAAAATCTCAGGAACTTTAATTTGATAAACAAGTCATTTGGCAACTCAACAATCTCATAGCATGACAACGATAATGCCCTTATGGATGTTAGACTTGGCAATAGGTTATGCAGTACCCTCTTGCTTAGCTTAATTTGGTCACGGAGCTGGATATTGATTGGAAGAAATGACTTTATCTTCTCTGATTGAAAGAGGGAATTCAATTTCTCAAAGTCACCACCTTCTCCCATTGAATAGGACATGTGCCGACATTTTTCCAACATATGAGATCCTTTGTTCTCTTCCAACCTTATACAAAGATTTGAAGATACATTTCGGGCCAAATCATTGATAAGGTCATGCATTAAGAATCCCTCCGGTTTCCATTCAGACTCTGGGACCTTTTCGAACAGCGATCTTGATCTCAACTCGAAAAAGTATTGGTCACCTGAATGAAACTGTTGTACAAGACCATTAGCAATCCACAGGTGAATAACTTGGTCTTTGCAAAATTGATAACCTTTGGGATATATTGCACAATAAGCAAAACATCGCTTCAAATGTGGAGGAAGATCATTGTAGCTCAACATCAGCGCTGGTAATATAACATTAAAAGAACTTGGCAGCTCCCATATTTCACTTCTTAAAATGTCTCTCCACTCATCCACCTCTGATTTGCAGCGTAAAATACCAGCAAGTGCCTTTAGAGCTAAAGGCAACCCTCCGCACTTGTCTGCAATTTTTTTTCCAACTTTTTCCAATTCTGGATGTTCCTTAGGATCCCTATTTTCTAGTGAATGTCGTTTGAATAAATCCCAAGAGGCTTCACTAGATAGAGTTCCCACGTTGATTGCTCCGCTACCCATCATCAAAGCAACACTCTCCTTACGTGTAGTTACAATGATCTTACTTCCCATACGTCCTTGTACAAAAAGATTTCTCAAGTCATCCCACTCACTATAGCTATCATTCCACACATCATCAAGGACAACAAGAAACTTCCTTCCTGACAGGCCTTCCTTCAATTTGACCTGCAGCTGATTAAGATTGTCATAACCCTTTGAGTCACATGAGCCAATTTGTTGAAGTAGCCCTTTTGTTAGTCTGAAAGCATCATATTCCTCAGTAACACAATGCCAAGCTTTCAAATCAAAATGGTCATTCACCTTCTCATCATTGTAAACCGCTTGAACAAGTGTTGTCTTACCCACACCGCCCATTCCAACAATAGGAACTACAGTCAGGTTTTTTCCATTTGCATCTTCGGACAATAAACGGTCAATCAAATCCTCAAAATCATTCTGCCTACCAAAGATATCAAAATTATCAACCAAAGAAGTTGAAGGTGTTGTAGTTTCTTGTTTAGTCAAACCAAAATGCTCCTTTAAGCCAAGGGGACCAATTTTCTTTTGCAAATCCTCCAATATTTCAATAGTGTCTTCCAACTTGTCCTTTATGTCAAGAAAGAAAGCATCACTTACTCGATGGTTGCTAGTTTCTGCAAGATTTTGATGCTGGCCTTCCACCTTAAGCCTCAAAGCTTCATAATTGACTTGTTCCATTAAGTTTTCAGCAGTGTCCACAGCATCTAGAAGCTCATTAAACCACTGGCTCACAAATTGATCTGATGCCTGCGTATTCTCTGCATCACTTAGCACAGCTTGAAAACAAAGCAAAGTCGTTCTCAGCTTCTTCAAGAGACGAACATCATTTGTATGCTTCTGAAACATCTCTAGAACATTCAAAGCTGAAGAGATAAATGCACCACCAACTGCTAAGCCCACCTCCATTTCTGAAATCTGCAAAGCAAAACACAAAATGATTTTAAGAAATTTGAGAAGATGAATGTTTCTATCTTCAATTACTAACAACTTTACTTTACCTGTTGAATGCTAAGAGTAATTTGCAAACAAGAATGATCACTGATTTCTCTCTCTCTTTTGCTAGTAAATTTGCAAACAACAAGTTGTAACTATGTTTGCTAGTGCCTATTCATTGCTTTCTCAATTGAGTAATTGAGGGTAGTTGGGGGACGTTGTACAAAATGGGGACCATTTAGACACCAAAGTCTTGTATCATTTAAACATCAATACAAGGTTCAATTGTGCTATTTTGACATTTTTGGCTAATTCAGCCAAATACGTTAAAGTGTGCAACACACTCGCGGATAACATCTCAATATTTGAATTGCACAAAATGACAAAATTACTTCCATATTTGAATTGCACAAATTACTTTCCTGGGGTGTTTGACAATTAATGAGTCCTGTTTTAAGGCTTGTAGTCCTTATTTGAAAACTAATTATTTGAATTAGTATATATGAATCTTCAATATATCCATTTGATCTCCGACTACTACGATCGTTGGGAGCTGGATACCTTCTTGCATTATGTTAAGGTGGTGGACGAATTTTATCATTGAAAGATGCAACAATGGGAGGATGAACAAATGGATATATTGAGGATGAAAAAACACGTGTGAGAAGGATCAAATATATCCCTTTATATATATATATTAAAACGAATCTAGATTGAATTTTTTACTTTTGTTAGAGAAAAAGAGTATATGTGAGTCATTTGTGTAGCAATAGAAGTATATGTGAGCTGCTTTTTTAACGAGAGCCAATGAGCCATATAAACTTTATATCACAAGTTAAAGAAGTATATCAGACCATTTTCTCTTGAAACATGTTGAGCAGGTCAGCCACAGGAGCAAGCCTATCAAGTCATTTTTTACTCCTTTCAAAAGTAAGACTTTTCAAACAACAAGAAGACACGATAAATTGAAGCAAACTCATTACTTTCTCAATGTAATAATTGAAGCAAGGGAAGAAGAGTAATTTATTAGGGATGTAGAAAGGGGGGCCTAGGTGGGGGACTCAAAAATAAAAGAACTTAAAATGATAGATTTCTACACAGTTCATCATAGCGTTAAAAGGGACCTATCATATTAAAAATGCATAATACATAAACCCTTAACAGGGCTTCAATGGACAACTATACCCTCCAACTTTGAGTGTGCACAAGTAAAGATTTAAATTTGTATAAAATTAACAAGTAGACACACGTGTCCTACATGACATAATACGCGTAGGATGCCACATACGACACAAAATTGTCATGTAGGGTGCTATGTAGGACGAATGTGTCTATTTGTTCAATTTTATACAAGTTTAAGTGTCTACTTGTGCACACCCAAAGTTAAAAGTCATAGTTGCCGGCTGACGCCAAGTTAAGGGTCATGTTTATGTATTATGCCTATTAAAAATATGTTTTCTTTACATTCTTGAAAAGTTCTCTCTTTTATTTTAAAAAAAGAAATCATTCTTGAAAATATTATTGATGAATTTTGAATTGAACAGAACTTGTAATTAGATTCCATGTGGTTACCTTTTAAATCAAAATAATCTCTTTTTATAATCACTCATCATGTGTGATCTTTTCTATTGAACTTACTGCATAGATGCATCGAAATATTTTAATAAGTTAATATTTGTGTATTCTAAAAAGTAGAACCTCTTTGATACTTTTAGTTTGTCCATGATTTATCAAAAGTTTAAGATCACAAAATTTTAAAAACACACATATTTTTAATTTAAAATCATAAATTTTAAAAATCTCTTTTTTATTTCGTAAAACTTGTGCTCAAATAAGCTAAAACACTTAAATTGAGCGAAGTTAATACATCAATTTTGCAATCATGTGCTCTATTATATATATATATATATATATATTGATTGTTAGGTTATTGTGATGTAGTGGAAAAGGACATGAGGCCATGACTACACAAGTTGTGCCAAAAGTAATTGATAAAATTTAATGGTCACCAATCAACTTACCTACCCCTCTTAATTACACATCAAAACCTAGCAAAAATAATGTGAGAATTTTTATTTTTTAAAAAAAGAAGTAAAAAATTTAAAGCTAATTTTTTTCGGATATGTTGTAAAAGTATTTTTGTATCAGTAAAAAAAAATTTGGGGCATATGTAATAAATTTTACAAGAAATTTAGTAAAAAAAATTTGACTATTAAAATGATAAATCCAAAATTAGCCATTGAATCAAAGAAGCCAAAAAAAATACATGTGAGAACGATCAAATATATCCCTACATAAATGGTTTTTTCAAAAAAAAATAAAATTAAATTGATTTTTTTTAAATTTTTGTTAGAGGAAATGGTATATCAGACCGTTTTCTCTATGTTAGTTGTATTATATACTTTATTTAATACTATTTTTATACATAACAAACCATGGCGTTAACGATACGAAATATTAACCACCTACTGTCATTTTTTCTCCTTTCAAAAGTAAGACTTTTCATTCAACAAGACACTACAACAAAAGCAACTTTTAGCGGCAATAAATAGGCACATTAATAAATAGTGCTAAAGTTTTTACCAACATCAATTAAGTGTCATTAGATCCAATATCACTAAAGGCTTTAGGGACATATACAAAAAGTGTAAATTGCCGCTAAAATATATATTTAGCGGCAATTGAGCTATTACCGTTAATTAATTGCCGCTAAAGATCATTTTTGATGCAGTAAGAAAAAAATGATAAATTGAAGCAAATTCATTACTTTCTCAACTAAATAATTGAAGCATGAGAGGAAGAGTAATTTATTATGGATGTAAAAAGGGGGTTAGGTCGGGGACTAAAAATAAAAGAGCTTAAAATGACAGATTTCTACACAGCTCATTATAGTGCTAAAAGGGACCTACCATATCATAAATATGTTTACTTAACATTTTTGAGAAAATTCTTTTCCTTTTTAAAAGAAAAGGAAAAAATAAATTATTCTTGAAAATATTATTGCTGACTTTTGAGTTTAATAGAACTGGATCCCTTGTTTAAATAATACTTTACATTCTGGTAAATCTTCACATTTTTTTCCCTACTTTTTCTACTTACTAAATTTTACTGAAATAAAGATAAATGAAGATACTGCTGGGGAGAACATGTTCTCTGCAACAGTAGGTCATGCATTACAACGTTTGTCTTGTTTTCAATAGTTGACAGTTATAGAAAAGAAAAGCCCAACATCATTTTTTTTTTTAAAAAAATTCTTCTCATAAAATGAAATTAAGTCTTAAATGTAATTCAAGTAGCTAAGTGTTGGTGAACGAAAATATTTGATTTATAAACTCAAAAGTTCCTATATGTTTCTATATTTTCTGTATATTTCAATGTTTTTCTCTGTATTGAAAATAATTAACAACATTCTTATTTATAATAGTAAACAATCAAATTAAACTAGGACTAGGAACTACTCTAACTAACAAACCCTAATTAAACATAAATAAGTAAATACCATAAATAACAAATCCTAATCAACTTAGGATTCCCACTCCAACTTTGAATTATTATTTCCAACATTCTCCCATAATTCAAAGTTGTATACTCTTGCCTTTTTCTTCTTGTTACTGTTGTTGTATTGGAGTACTTCTCTTCTTGTTATTGTTGTTGTATTGGAGAACTCCTCTTCAATCTTCAATTGTTGGAGTGCTTCTCTTCAATCTTCAATTCTTGGATTGCCTCTCTTCAATTCTCATTTTTTTTTTCTTGGTTGTGTTGGCGCACCTCTATCCAACTTCCAAGTGTTAGAGCACTTTCTCTCCAACTCACGATATTTTTTTCTTGGTTGTGTTGGCAGGGCCGTCTCGACCATAAGGCCACTAAAGCAATCGCTTGGGGCCCCAAACATTTTCTTTCATATATATTGTTAAAAAAAATTCATGTATTGACAAATTTGAAAATAATATTTTGTATACAAAATATAATTGAGAAATTGAATATTGTTTAGTTGATTGTAGTGTCTTTTCTAGATTCTTATTATGTGGCTAGTTAATTGTAGTATCCTTTCTTGTTTCACATGTGGCTATCTATTTTGTTGTCTAGTTCATTTATATTTTGATGATTATCATGAACCAACAATATTGTGTTCTTATATCAACTTTTCTTTATTCTCCTTCCACTATTTTTTATTCTTTCATGGGAAAAGGTAGAAGTACCTCCCTAAACTATGATCCAAATCTCAGAGACATGCCTTAACTAAACTAAGGTCCTATTAACCCCCTGAACTCATTTTTTTTGTAATTTTGTACACCTTTTTGGCTTACGTGGCATTCAAATATATCTCACACGCCTCAACTGCATGGAGTCACAGGGTGTGCCACATAAGCCAAAAGGTGTACAATATTATATATAAAATGAGTTCAGGGGGGTAATAGGACCTTAGTTTAGTAAAGGCGTGTCTCTGAAATTTCAATCATAGTCTAGGGGGTACTTGTGCCTTATCCCTTCTTTCATTATTGAATATTCTGAAGTCTCTCAAACGTTCAAACATTCTACATTATGTATTGTTGTGTTTTTATAAAAAGATCAAATTTGTTTTTGGTGTCTTATTCAAATTTCAAGCACTAAAACTAATCAACACTATTTTAATATTATTTATTAACTTATCAAATTCATCGCTACATTATTTTAATAGCATCATATTTTTAAAATTTTGAGTCATGTTTTATTATTCCAACTTTATATTATATAATTTTCATTGAAAATTTACATTATTTGCATTCTTACTTCATAATGTCTACATATATCCTGTTTCTCCAGACCTCATTTGTAGGATTACACTAGTATACTATAATTATTCAATTTATATTTATCAACAAGTTTGGGGCCTCTTTATAATGTTTGGCTTGAGGCCCCCAAACTTGTTGAGATGACCCTGTGTGTTGGAGCACATCTCTCCAACTTCCAAGTGTTGGAGCACTTTCTCTCCAACTCACAATATTTTTTCTCTTGGTTGTGTTGGAGCACTTCTCTCCAAATTCCAATGTTGATGCCCTTCCCACCAACGCCTTTTTTTTTGTGTTGGAGCACTCTCTCTCCAACTCTCGTTGATGCCCTTCTCATCAACTCCTTTTCTTTTTGTGTTTTTGTTTTTTA